CGCTTTATACCATGATCAAAGCGCTGTGAAGTATCTCGCTATATCAGCAATTGACGACTTTTTCTAGGTAAATAATGATATGATAGAGAAACTCTAACTCGTCTTGCGGTAAATATATAAAAATACTTTTTTCAAACTGAATGATGATTAAAATAAATACAGTATAACGTTTATTGCAACTGTGTAAAGAGATACTTACCAAATATATTAGTGTCAGTCATTGTTAAATTTGTATAAGATATACTAGTACCTGAAATATTACAGAGAAAGAATTTATTAGGCCTACATTTTATAACACCCACACATACATGTGAATGGCCTTAAACTGATGACACTGAAAAAAAAAAAAAAACAATTGATAAATATTATAAAAATCACAATCATTGTCAGTGACCAAAAGAACACCCCTTAATTCTATACTATTAAAATTAATACGTTAAAAAACAATAATTGACTATTTTTTTAAATTTTATTAAACTACTGTAAAATGAATAATAAAATCATTAAAAGTTGGCAGTAAATCGCGCTTGCTGCATACACCTATAAGGATTTCATGCATTAAAGTAAAAACAATCAGTATTTCTACTTACAGTTTAAGTTTCAACGGAAATATTCACAGCCAGAACTTTATTGACTGAAATTAATTCCAAGTACATTGTCAACATTTATATAGTAGTAGTATATTTAACTGTCGATAAGCTCCCGTGTATGGACATTCCATGATGGGTTGTATGGAAATTTTATGATGGGTTGTATGGAAATGTTATGATGAGTCGAATAATAACCGATAGAGTGTTTTCATGCTAATAAATATCTGGATTAGGCCTACGTGATATCCTGTTACATCTTAAAGCAAATGATTTGTCATTTATTGGCTCTTCTCGAATATGATACAATGTTTTTTTTCCACTGTTATTGCAACACCACATAGTATCTGTAGAAATAAATAAAATATGAGTATAAGAAGAAAAACCAATGATGGTAGGCCTACATGTCATCAGTATTTAAAGTGAATCTTTATCTCTCTCACCAAACAACATAAAAGAATGTAGCACCTAGACAACAAATTATAGATCCAGGATGACAGAGATAAACATTGCAAGGACTGCGGTGATCATTACTTTTTTTCTTATACATACAAACACAAGCGGAATTTACCAACGCGGGGTCCGAACCAAGGGGCCGCCTCGGTCGACTGCCCGGAATAAAAACTCGCTTGTAGGGACCACAACATTAGGGATTGGCAGTCAAAATAACGTTATTTCGATAGGCAAATTATATTTAAATTTCTTATCCGACGACCTAGTCGTGTGTCGGACGATAGGAGGGTACAGGCCTGTCCGACAGAGTGCCAAATGGCCCCCAACCCCTCCCCCAAAAAAAATATTCATAAGTATGTATTCACCCTTATATAACTCTTAATCTTCTGATTGGTTGTAAATCAATACCCGTATAAATTTTAGCTGTAAATGTTGAATTTACAGGATCATAACAAACAATTTTATCACTGTTTTTCTACTTCATCTGTAATAGTTTATAATGCAGTGATAGTCATAAGTTATCAATTTTTATGGAAAATATTTTGTGCAGATGGCACATGAACAGACAAAATTTCACGATCTAATAAACACGGAATTGTAATTGAAAATATTCAAAACAAATGCTCATATATCATCACATCTGAAGAAAATCTCGAGTCTTTCTTTTTTTTCGTTTATTTTTATATCAATGTAGCTTTTTATATCTATATTATTTAGCTGACATTTGATATTTTCTTGATGTACCAAAACGAGCAATATTAAAATTTCACAAACAATCATGTTTTATTTAATCACTAAACACCACCACCCGAGACCACTTACAAGTACAGCGCACACTTCAATTCGGGATCCCTAAATTCCAAGACCTACCCCTCTAATTCGAGACCACTTTTTTCAAAAAACCAAATATATTATCTACTAACACCATGCTAACACTATAATCAACTACGTAGATACAGAGACCACACAAAATGCTCAGGTTCCAAAAGGTGGTCTCGAATTAGAAGGCGAACTGTATTAACTATTAATCGAGTTGACTAACCTTATCTACATTTTATAAATATACTACTACTTTTCTAAAACAATGTGGAGGTATATAAATACACATACACGTACAATTAAGTTATCAACAGTTAGCACCATCCTATTAAAAGCCTAATTAGGTCATTGGAAGATCTATGATCGATATCTCTTTTATGGCCAAATTATTATATAGTTGTGCTGCAGGTTTTATTACTGTACAAGGAAAAGCTGTGCATAGATTTACATTTGTTATGTGATATGTCTGTATTTGGGTATATTATGACATTATCATGCCCATATATGGCTTTCTCCGCCAAATCCTCAAGAACAATATCGCTAAAATATATTAAGTGAGTGACCTTACTGCAGCAACATACAAAACACAAAACACTATTACTACTTAGTAGTAGGCCTATACTACCTTTACGCTAGGAGAGAGTCTAAAACACAAACGGTTATCTTTAATTAACCTTTATGAATATGTAATAATTGATACAATACAATACAGGGCCCACATAAACAACTTATTTCCAAGCTACAATACATGACAATACTACTGTATTATTTAAAACCAATTACCCTCTTTGTAATTTACTTTTTGTCGTGGATATTTAGCTGGTTATATATATATAAATATATATATATATATGTATATATATATATATATGTATATATATAAACACAAAAAGTACAAATAAATTTGTTCGATTAAAATAATCGTTCTTCCACAAGATTGAGAAAAATTACATATAAAACATTTAAAATATCAAAGCATTAAAAAATTCAAATTACAAAACAGGTTAAACGCCTATTAGTTCACATAGCATTTTCGTGATGATTAGTGAGGGCGCACTCTAACCTTAGCCTTAAAGGCATTCAAATTTAAGTTATATCTGGCAAAATAAACACTTTGTTTTCTTTAATGGTGCAAGTCTTAAAATCCATGTAGAATTATTAAATTCAAGTTATTTTGGCATATTTTAAGCTTTCAGATGTCACTTCATGACACTTTAGTCAACTTTACAATCTTCTATTTAATAATAGATAAATATATTGTCTGCTGTTCCATGTAAAATTTCAAAATGTTTGTATCTGGTCATGGTCTTCCATTTATATAGTGCATACTATAATGCAATGTCTCTATGTACTTTCAAACCCAGTTTCAAGACAAAAAAGAAAGCAAACAACAAGAAAAAACAAGAACAAAAAGGATTAGAATTGTGAGAAAAAATGCGATTTAAGCCGGATTTAACAAGGGCCAAAGATGGAGAAGACCTTACAAATTTGGGTAATTTGTTTTAAAATTTTGGTGCAGCAAAAGAGAAGGATCAATCACCATAGGTTTTCAAATGACTACAAGGTTAATAAAGAGTAGTAGAACTAGATGATGCCGACCACATTCTCTGTGCATAACTGTTAGGTGCCCAGTTTTGATCTCCCCCGAATAGTCCCTACACACGCTAATATGATAGTATAGTTAAACTATTTTATATTCATGTTATTCTTTTTTTCCCATACAAGTATTATCAAATGATGATAGGTTAGGAAATCTTTAAATAAATACCATTGCTGTACTGTATATAAAATAACAAAAATAAAACCTTTAATTCTATTTTAGTAAAGTAATAAAAAAAGATGTTGAGTAATCGTTGGTTTGTATTGAAGAAATGTCTCTATTATTTATTTTATTTTATTTTTATAGTATTTTTTGTTCATATATCACAATCATAATCTTCATTGTTAAATAAATTACTTATTTTTAACAAAGACATAATAACCATAATTTAGTTTAAACATCATAGTGTATATGCTAAGAAATATTACATTAAATAATAATTAAGTAGATAAACATCTTTATAACTGACATCAAACCTATTATATAAAAACCTCTTTTTTTTTAATCTATTATTAAAGAAACCCCACACTATGCAAAAAACTTAAACCAAACAAAAATTCAATCCCAAATTTTGTTTCATAACAGAGCTCAAAATGAGACTCAACAAAATGCACAAGATAAATTTCAAAAAGTAATATTATTAGAAAAAAAATTATCATATTTTTAAGGTTGACAATTTCATGCTTTGATTTTTTATGAACTTGAGATTTGTAGTAGGCATAAATTTACTGAAGTATATTCATAGTGTATATGCTAAGAAATATTACATTAAATAATAATTAAGTAGATAAACATCTTTATAACTGACATCAAACCTATTATATAAAAACCTCTTTTTTTTTAATCTATTATTAAAGAAACCCCACACTATGCAAAAAACTTAAACCAAACAAAAATTCAATCCCAAATTTTGTTTCATAACAGAGCTCAAAATGAGACTCAACAAAAAGCACAAGATAAATTCAAAAAGTAATATTATTAGAAAAAAAATTATCATATTTTTAAGGTTGACAATTTCATGCTTTGATTTTTTATGAACTTGAGATTTGTAGTAGGCATAAATTTACTGAAGTATATTCTTGATTTGTTTCTATTTTCCAGTCTAATGAGCTATTTTTAATGCAACTGCTTCATCATATTGTTGTTTACGTGCGTTGTGGTGCGAGAACAAATGAACGCACACACTCAGCTGCAAAAGGCTGGTACTCATTACGTGCAAAGTCATTTGTACTCTACGCTTTCAAGTTAATTTATACGACTAAACGCCGCATATTTTCTCTTCTAAAAATGCCAATCATGAAATATAACCTTGTACAGCTTATCACAATGATACACATAACTCATTTAGCGATAATTTCATATCTTCACTTATCCTTCTTACTGACAGGACTTTTTCCTTCAGGATAATCAGCAACATTGTACTGGATAGCGCAGCGAAGTGGGAACCATCCGCGAACTTTCTTTTTACTTTCCTCTGTATTTTCTTTCTTGGCTTGGTAAATGCGCTCGCCATACATCCAATACCTAGAAAATAATTATTCAGATATTAAAATGTATTAGTAAGCCTTGTTCACATTGAAAGAATATAGAATAACTCTAAGTTGGCTAAATTGTTCACACGTGGATTGAGATATGCAGTCAGTTTTAGCACACATGACTAATTACTATTCAACATGCTAATGGCTGTTCAAATGCGCAACCGCATGTTTTAATCAGAAATATTGAATCATTACAGTGCGCATTTGAATGTACAGTAGTCGAGTCCAAATTAAATCTTTCGGGCACACAAAAAAACATAAAATAAAATATTCCAAAATAACGCCACTCAGAAAGGTTGCATTGGACTTTTCGTTTCTGCTCACAAAGAAAAACAGATCAGCTTGGGTAACTTGGCCAAGGGGAATCTTTTGCAGACTTGTTCACACTGAATTCGGTCAACTTGCCCAGGTAAAATCTGAACAGCACTTTAGACCTCTGACGAATAGTGTCCAAAATTCACTACAAACTCGTAAAATGAAATAATGAGCCATTATCATTATTATATAATTTTTGGTACAATTCTAAGCCGTTCCGGACCTCTTTGCTTTTCTTCCTTTTTCCTGTCTTTTTTTGTAGACTTCAATAAACAATGACATAATTGTAAAAATTTCACTGTTCCCTGATTGTAACATTATTTACTTAATGCTTTATTTAAATATTATTAGAAACTTCAATGATTACATTATTTTGTATACTGTAATATATTTTTTCAAATACATACCTAAACAATTTTAATTAATTATATATAAACTCTGAAAATAAATTTATGTAGATTAGATCAATAAAAAATGGACATAGTAGTAATCCTTATCTATTCTTTAAAAAGAACAACAATTTTAATCTTTTGATCAATTTTATATAACCGGAGTTAGTTTCGACCTAGGCAAACCTAGAAGACTTAATTAAAAATTGTCTAGCTGTGGTATGAGTCATAAATAATAATAAATGAGTGAAATTATGATGAAATTTAGACTTACTTTTTCCACCTAGTTACCAGGATAATATCGTCCACATTTATTTTAATGCGTGGCTCATCCGTGAGGGGTACTCGTATACAAGTACAACATCCCTTTGTAATTGGTAACCATGAACCACTGTAATCCTCTGTAACAATATATTCAATCTAAAAAGGAAAACAATGTATTTCACAATGCCGTAAAAACCTCAAATTGGCCAAGTGGACTTAATCTCGAGATGAAGCCCATCTCGAATTGAAACGTCCCCTATTCAATTTGAAAAAATTAGCCTTGTAAAAAGCCCATGCTCAAGATAGTCTTCTTTTTGAGATTTTACAGTACACACACTGTACATGATTTTCAAAAAACAAAATAAATTAAAAACAAGCTTGGTTTAAACAGTAGTTTAGGTGATTTTAATGCCACTTAAATACACTCCATAATACATATTGGGGTTACAGTGGCCTTATTTATTGTTATAGTACAAATTCACAAAAATTTACAGCATTCATTTTGAAAAAGTTTCCTTGAAAAGAAGCTTATCTCGACAAGAAGCTTATCTCGAAAAGAAGCCCATCCAAATTTTGCAAAAAGAAAAAGAAAAGCCTAGGGATTCAATTAAAGGTTTTACGGTAGTTTGAGAATGGATGGATAAATGGATGGATTTATTTGGTGTAAACACCAAGGACAACCTGTAATAGTCTGAAGAATATTTATTTCCAGTGGGGTCCTGCTGGTGGTGATTGGGTGTACAGTGGGAGACATTCCCCTACACTTTTCCAACGAGTGTACTGTGTTCTTTAACGTGCACATTGGACATAATGCACACGGGAGCAACGGCTTGAATGTCTCATCCAAAAGACGGTACACTATGATAACTTGCATTTCAGTCCTCCAGCTGAAAGACAAGGAGAGCAGCGAAGGGAATCGAGCCGGAGTCCAAGAGATCGCCACGGTTTAGTGCACACACAGTAGCTACTACCAGTTTAGCCATTCAGCTGAGTGACTCTTCCCAAAGAGGTCATCTATTTGCTGAACAGAGATTTGAGGATGGATAATGTCTAATGGTTTCTCTAAAATTAATTACATCTGTTTCTTATATTTTAGTTTTTAGTTTTTGGATTTTTATAGTCAGTGTACATATAATTTGGAAAATAATCCATCACCAAGTTTCTGCTTTCATTGTTTTTATGATTGAAGTCAGCATTTCTGTTCTTTAAATACCTTGCTGTTTTTATTATATATATGTGATTGTGAATGTAAAGCAAATAATAGGGAGTTTTAATACTTTAAGAGTAATCTTGGAACAAAATTTGCAGTTGATATTATTGATCTACTTACAGCTCGTAATCGCTTTTCTTCCTTCTGTTTTAATTGTTCTATCTGTAAGAAACAAAGTATTTCAAAGACAATGTCAGGCAAAATAAAGGTAGTTAAAGGTAATGAACCTTAGTATCGGGGTAATTCACTACTATTCTGAAAATTCACACATGCCAGATGCGTACACTGGACCTACATTTTAAGTCCTTATCCGAAAGGATTTGGTTCTACCAACCAAACCCACATTGGTCGAGTTCCTAGTCCACATTTCAAGCGCCCTGAGCATCTTACATTAGATGGATATGTGCGCTATATAAAACTACACTATTACTATTACTATTATTATTATTATTATTATTATATACATATATTGGTTGAATATAATTCTGTTAAGCTGTTAAAAATGAATTTAAATTAATGTTCAATATAATGGAGGAAAATAAAAATCATTTAGGTACTTTTAGATATTATTACTTACTGTTAATGTATACTGAGTGCAGCCTTCCACTACAGGCCATACAATGCCATCGGATTTCGGCTTACCACTCCATGTGAAAACCTGTTTCATGTTCTCCTTCCAGCCCAGGTGGTATGGATAAACAAATTCATCTTCTCTTTTCCTATAGAGTGCCTGTAAGAATGATAACACGAAAAGGAAAGAGCAGGGGATTGTCATTTGTTTGTCACCATTATAGAATGTACTACCGATTTTTCACTGACATTGTATTTTTTGCGATAGGGCAAACAATACCATTACCATAGACATAAAAGAAATAACTGATTGATTGAAAAAGAGTAATAATGTTAAAATGTATCAAAGTGATTATTACCTCCATCATGTTGGTTAGACCATGTGAAAAATTGAATACTAAAAAATTAACAACTGATACTTGCCATCCCAAATCCAGCATACTGTCTGATTGTGAAACTGAGTAGTTAGTATAAGAATGTGACATTATTGTATACTTTAGTACACAGAAGCTGTAATACTTATACTCATAACTTTGGCAATAGTTGATGCCAGTAAATGACCCATCATTTTAAAACTTCTAATGTGGAGAATATAACAAATAAAACGTCAATTTTCATTTTTTTTTTGTCACTAATGTTGGTTATGGAATGTCAAGCCTCAATTTATACAAAAGTTAGATTAATTAACTTCCATTGTTCATGTTCTTTTTCTTACCTTTGCTTTAATCCATGATTCAATCCCAGTCTCATTTTTTATAATAACTTTAATCTGAAATGAAATACAAGTCATAATTACACGATAATACTACTGTACCTACAAATTACATACTAACTGCAAAAATCACAAGAAACCAACACTTAAATTGCTTCACATTAGTGTTTTCCATAAAACTGGAAAAACACTGTTACAGGAGAGGATAGGAGTATTTCGGTGTAAGTCCGAAGACTTGTTTCCAGTAGGGTCCTTCTGGTGGTGAATTGGGCAGTACACAGGGAGACAATCCCCTACTCTTTCATTTAACGTGCACATGGACCATATTGCAAACAGGGTCCAACGGCTTAAACGTCTCGTCCGAAAGACGGTGCGCTATCGTAACTTGTATTTCAGCCCTCCAGCTGAAACACGAGGATAGCAATTGAACCGGGGACCACACAGTGGCTACTACCAGTCTAGATGACTGAGCTAAGCTGGCTCTCTATAAGCTGTTATGAAATTATGAAATACAACACTTACTTGAATAAAAAATAGGAACCCAACTGCAATTACAACACCAATAGCGAAGCCAATTGCCAGGAATGTCAAGATAAGATGTAGGATGTTGTATTCAACTAATGCCCCTTGGTGTAGCTCAGGATATCGGCGCTTCGGATAATGCAAAGTCTGGAATAAAAATAGAGAAGAAAAACTTATCTAAGTACAGTAAATGGTTTTTTTCCCCCCCTCTGAAGAAAGCTTAGTCTGAGTCAAAACGACAGGCCAGGTAAAATTCTATTGTAAAAGTAGTTGGCGCAGTGGCTCGACCTCTCAACCTTGAGGTTGGAGGTTAAAAACTTTGTTGTGCAAGGCACTTTATCCATGGTGTCTCTCTTCACCCAGAAATATATGTGGGTACCAAGGAACTTTGAGTATGCACTGATTTACTTTGTGCACCAAGCAATGTAATTTTACCAATTAGGCAACGTTACAATTACTGGAGTGTTAAAGCCAGGCGCCGGAGAGAAAAAAGGTTCTCTTCGTTGCATTGACTCTAGGACATAATATGGCCAAATTTATGTTGTGCAGAGAACATACGATGGCCACGCATAAGTGAATCTGTTTTAGCATCGCGTCGTCATGCTAATCAAAAGCACCTTACAATCTGAATTAGGTCGACCCAGGCAAGCGCGGACACTTGACATTTTCATGACAGACCGTCCTGAGTCAAGCTAGGCTTGAAGCTCTAGTGTGACCGTAGCCTCTAAGACTGTGCAGAGTGATATATAAAAACATCCATATTATTATTATTAAAAATGAGTGTTACCTTAAAAACTCGATGGTATACTGTTAGAATGAGGACAGTTGCACCGTGCATGCACCCGAGAGGAGCGAATATGAGGAAATATGTGAAACTAGAATGGTTAAAGTGACCACAGCAGGTGTTAATCCAAGGACAATGATGGTCCATCTTTATCACACACCTGAGAAAATTAGACACATTCAATCAATAGGTAAATAGTTCAGTGAATGTGCATAGTTATAAGTATATTTCAAGCATCCATACAGCATATAATCATTGTCATCTTTGTCACCGTTGTCATGGGCACAGTGGTGGCGACAGCGGGGCATTTGTTCCCCTCCCCCGAACAGGCATGGACCCGTAGTCCAACGAACGACTAGTTCCTCGGGTTAAAAGAAAATAAAATAAAAATTTGCTAATAAAATAATATTATTTTGACTGCCAATTCCTAGTATTATAGTCTAAAGCACATTTTGAACCATATTAAGCCATAAAAACTCTCTCCGTAAACCCTACCAGAGATTTTCTAGTCCAGGTCATCGCCCGAGGCTTCGTCAGCCCCTTGGTTTGGACCTATCTGTCGGACATGTCAGACCCCTTGTTGGCAAATTTCTGGTGCCATTGCTGCGTGGGCACCACTACCACTGCCATGACCACTAAGACAACCTACCTGTTGGTTGTTCATTCATTAACAATAATTTAATAAAAAAAAGTTTACAAATTGTAATCGATTGAACAAAGTATTTTCAATCTAGATATCAATCTAAAAAAAATATGCAACTACAATATACTGTATTGTAATGTCAGGTAGATTTAACTTACAACGTTAATTTTGTAGTTCTTACCTTTTACAATGCCTACAGTGGTGCGAGCGTGGGGACTTATAACCCTGACACGCTTCACAGAATTGAAGCTTCTTACAATCTTCTAAATTTTCCTGTAAAAAAAAAAAAACACATTCAATTTATATGCTGTCTGAATCCCACATATCCAGACTATTATATTTTAATTGTCAAAAAAATGTGACATGCCTGAATATGGTCATGATGACATCACATCATGACCATATATAGGCACATCATGACTATATATGGGCATACAACAGTTTTTTTTGTAGAAGAAAATTTGATAGTCTGGACAGCGTAAATGCTCGAGTAAGCGCTGCGTTGCTTATAACACTTTTGGATGCTTCTGTGCAGCGCTTATACAAAATATTGGTGTGGTGTACCTTCTGACGCATTCCTGTAGTTCTGTATGCCCATCATCGTAAATAATTGTTAATAAAGAAATGCTTGTGTCTTCACTCTGGTATTTTAATTTTAACACTGTATACATTGTATTTAAAACCCTGTTTCTCAGAGTGTTTCATCACACACAGGATAATATACTTACGATTAAGCGCCGCAGTGCTTACTTTAAAGTAGCAAAAAAAAAAAAAAATTTGGCTGGCGCTTATTCAAGAGCAGTGGTTATTTGAGAGTGTCACTTATTCAAGCATTTACAGTACTCCAAACCTGTTTAAGAGTTTGATTGGTTCCTTCAGAACCAAAAACGTGAATATGCCTTGTCCTATGTCAACATATTTAACGACTCAAACCCATAAACTCATGAAGATTAACAATAAACACATTCTGCTAGATTGGTCACGTGAACACTATTTTGAACAATCATAGTGCCTTTCCTTGCCAGTTATTATCTCAGGTTAATGGTAGGTGAATGTTTTCGAAACCAAAACATTACCCTTTCCTATACTTAAACACTGATCGCACTGGAAATTCTCCATAGTAATACCCACTATATGTCACATGACCAGCTGTAAACAAACCTCGCAGAATCTGTCTATTAGTAGTTCAACTTAACTCACACTCAAATGTACAAGCTTGTGGATGAGTGAGTACTGTAGAAGAACATTCAAACTTACCGGTTTCCATCCCAAAGGAACAAACCCCGGTCCACGAAATACTGCATTGAAATAATTGAACAAGATAAAGAAGATCCAAGATGATAGGATGATGAAATGCACGATGCTCCCGTAGCTGTCAAGGGTCGGAGGCCAGTAAACAAGATCGCAGTAAACTGACATAGTGGTAATGTAGAAAATCAGAAAGAGGGCGATAAATGGCCCCCAATGACATAGCCTCTTGAGTGGACCGAAACACATGATGTCGTCAACTTCTCCCCTTTCCCAGGGATGCTGGAAAAGACAAAAATTAAGTAAAATCTGCAACTAAAAAAAAAAATTTTTAAATCAGGTATTTAGAATGAGATTTATAGTCAATGGAGTATTCAAGGGGGGGGGGGGGGGGGCTGAGCAGTCCCATTCCTCTTCTTCCCCATCTCTTCCCTTATTTTTTCAAAATTATTAAAACAATGAAGAAAAAAGAAAAATTATTAATCAAATTTCGGCCTGAGAGTTCCATATCATAAATTTTCTTACTGTACCTCAGCCCAAACCATGGTGTGGCTGAGTTGGTCTACTCTACATCTAATAAAAAAGATTGATTGATTGATTGATTGATTGATTGACATCTGTGAAAATCTCTCCGGGTCTCCTCTATTTCGAATTGCTGGATCAGCCACTGATAGTTGTTATTTAACTACTGTACGGTTCAAACGGCTCACTCAGCCATATTGAGATCCAGATTATGAGGTTGATATTAATGTTTAAAGCATCTAAATTCTTTATAACCAGATACAGTAGACACACATTACTGTACAACATGGCAATTCCCTACTGGTTATTTTTTCCCTCCTTATGACAGTATAATCAATGTATAATTTCCTTTGAAAGTATTAAAAGTGTAATTCACAACTTTTAAAGACTAGCCTGGCCCTTTAAGAATGCAATCACCACTCTGTAATTTAACATTGGGGTGGTTTTGCAATGCTTGGACAAGACTTGTTTAGCAAAAAACTAGGCTATTATTATTGAGGAAGATCTGCCGAAAAAGCTCTGTGCACGCAGCGCTATCCAAATGATGAGCCCCGTACACAGCTGCCGCAGCAGATGATGTACGTTGGCGCGATGCCTTCGGAGTTTACTGTAATGTGCTCCCAGACATCAAATGCTCACCGGGCTTAGTTTACCAAAAAATTGAACATGGCGAAATTGAGAGCACCTTCTTTTCTCAATGCGCATTACTTACAATCATTTTCATCTTGAAGCAAATATATTTATCTTTCAAGAAATACCAAATATATTCATATTTTCTACAAAACAAGTTTTCGAATTTAATTAAACATTTACATGAGCTTTAAAAGTATGGCATATTTCAACTTGAATTTCCATAAATTGGATAAAACTCAATAATTCTAATTTTAACGGATATTAATTTAAGGAATGATTGAGGATTATAATAAATTAAGTCATTTTAGGGTTAACAAGGGGTAACTATTCAAAAATTCAATCCAAATTCAGTGTAATTTTCAGTTTTATTCTGCCAGTCAATCTTTAGACAAAATTATAATGAATACGGAACTAATAGCAACAGAAATATTTCCTAGAATCTGTTCCTGAAATATACACAAAATAACATACTACTAAAAACCCGAAAAAATACAGTCAGGGGAACATTGTTAATTTTAAAGCTATTTAATGGTTTAAAATCAAAGGGTTTATCATACACTGCTACAGTATGTTGAAGCGTATAAAAGCCCGCTGTTGCCAAGTTGTTGCTACGAAAAAAATGTTTTAATAAGATAGATGCCCGTGCTCGATCTAAAGGTGGGGAACACATTGGTTTGTCGGGTCAAAGGGATCTGTTGGCGAGTGCTCTCCTTCTCAATAATACTTCCTATCTATAGTCTTACTTTTATAGAAACAGCAAAGCCTAGACTAGGGCCTACTGGCCTAACTAAAGGTAGCTCAGCCAAAATGTTGCAGTACTCCGTATTCCACATTCATGAAGTGAGAGGAATCTTCTAATGCCGTGGCCTACATAAACTTTCAAACACCTTTAATTAAAAATAAAACGCACCCACCCTATGTCTAGTCCTACCGCAGAAACTTGCCCTGTTGCTATTGAGGACAGGATCGCGGGAATAGAACTTTATGTCCCGCCGGTGTCGTAAGTCCAACACTGGTCCACTGGCCTAGCTAGCTTAGAGAAGGCTGACATTCTCATACTTAATTAATATTATCAACAATAACTAAATGATTATTCAAACTAATAGCCCTAATGGTATTTTAAAATGTGTCAACTAAAACTTACTAGTAACAATATATTGCATTTATTAAAAAATTAACAGTAGCATAAATATTATGTACCTTTTGATACACGGTATTCTGTTTTATTGGTTTTTGAAGCGCCCTCTTTTGGGGGGAACTTTTTTGGTGCTGTGTGTATGGTGGCGCAATTCTTTTAAAAACATTGGGCCTAGCCAAGCCTGACTAGACTGTGACGGTATGTGACACATCGTTCTCCCTTTCGTTCCACGAGATGTCGCAGGACGTACCTCTGGCTGGTTTCGGTATGGAGGGCCCACTTAGTAAATGGACAAATGTAATGAAAGGATGGCAATATCGATGGTTTGTTCTCGACCTAGAGACCGGCCTTTTATCGTATTACACCGTGAGTTATAATATTTTTATTCATATTTGCTAGTAGGCTAGCTAGCCTAGGGCCCTAGGCCTAGGCTAGGTAGCCTAGTACAGGTAGCCTAGCCTAGTTAGGCTCTTGTTTTGGGCTTGGTAGGCTAGGCTAGCCTAAGCCTAGGGCCTAGCTAGACGCCTAAACCATAGGCCTATGTGGCCAGTCCTACTACTAGGCCTAGGTGTGTGGGCTTACTTCAGCAGTGTCTACCACACCCCCACCCCACTCCCTGCCTAGGCCTAGTTGTTGGCTAAGCTTTTTGGTTTTGGTAGGATTCCATCCCTGTTTGTAGAGTTTTTAATTGCGCAAAGGATAGGCCTAGACCTATTTAAGAAATCAGCTCAAATTTGCGCGGAAAATCGCTAGGAAAATATGTTCACAGAATCATAATTGATTCTTAATTTTACTTTCTTAGATAAGTAATTGTATAGGCC